TCATTTTACACTATCAAAAAAGAAAGAATAAAATAAAAAAAACAGATTGAATCATTTAGAATTTTTTTTCAAAGGAACCAACCTATTAAATCCCAGTAATGTTTGACACCTTAAACTGAAAGATGAAATAAATCCCATCATGACTTTTTCAGTAGTAGTTTGAATAGAAACATTTGTTTTGCAAAACTTATCTATCTTCTGGATAATTTTTTTTCTCATCTTGAGATTTACTCCTATCTGTCTGGAGAAAATAATTTCATTAAATTGCAAGTACAAGTTCCCAGTTTCATCAATCTGAGCACTTCATTACTAATGAGCCTTATTTGTGGTCAGGGATTTCCAATAATCACTCTGCTATTCCCTCTTGGGCTTGAGCCAGTAAGCCACATCATAAATGGGGCTGTACAGCTCATATAAAGGACCTCAACAAGTATTTCTCACTGTAGCACTAATTAGAAATTTACAGGAACTTTTTTTTCTTTCACCCATCTCCAAGTCCCATCCCTCCCACGATCGGGTGCGTCTCAGTTTCTCACCCACTCAAGCTGATTCCTGCTAGATAAATTAAGTCTTTTCTCTGTTCTTTTTGGTTTTCGACTCGTCTTTCATTGACATCCCATTTGGGAAAAAATAGGCTTGTAACAAAGATAAAAAATTAAAGTAAACAATTAAAATTATCCTTAAAAGAAATTGATTAACATCAATGTACCAGCTCCTCCTGGGGCAATTTTTCACTTTGTAATGAGTGCAACTATTTCCGATAAGAGGGTTGTTCCACCCCCATTCATTAGTTTCTAATGAATCCTGCATGTGCGTTCACATTTGAAGGTGATGCACAGCAGAACTGAATGCCTGTTGTGAGCTGTCAAAGGTTGAGGCTGACCTTGAGATCGCCGTGCTCTCTGATCCATTTCAACGATCAGAGGGAGGGGGTTTCAGTTGTGCTCTCCAATTCTCATGACATTGCCGATATTATAAGTGATTGGCTGTTCCTGAATTAAATTGGATTTTTTTTTTAAAGGGGTTGTCATGTTGAGCAAGACTAAGGCTTAAAATATAACATTTCAGTGAAATATTAAAACACTATCATCAGAAAAAACACTTGCTAAGATAAAATGCTAATCTTTTCTCAGAAAATGAATTGTTAAAATGACAATAAAACTATGATATTGTCATGTTAGAAAATCCAAAAATATCAGGAATTTGTGCCTTTCTTTTCTTTTTGTTTTTTTATTTAACCTTTATTTAACCAAGAAAAAAATCCAATTGAGATTTAAAAACCTCTTTTTCAAAGGAATTCTGGCCAAGAGACAGCAAAGTTACATAAAATACATTAAACATAGATACATTAAAATAAATGACAGGTACCGGTACATAAAAAAAAAAAAAACATATCAATTACAGTAATCTCAATTACAGATCATTGAGGCTGCTTCAAATTCCAGTTACAAAAATACAGAAATACAGTTTCTGATTAACTTTAATGAAGCATGGTAAACAGAGTCCAACGTTTGAAGACATTAAGGAAAAGGAAGAAGTGAATATATTTTAAATCTAATGTGAATCAAAGACATAGTTTCTTTAAAAATCTGATGGTTTATCATATATCATGAACATTCTATTTATAAGCATGTAAAAGTGAAAAAAAGGTGGGTTTTTTTTATGTAAAATCGAGTTTTTGTGTCCCATGTATATTTGCAAATTCAATTTTTGCCCATTAAGACAAAAGTTTGGATGTCACAGGGTTAAGTACTCAAACTGCTTGCCAAGGAGTAGAGCATACTTTGCAATTAAGTGGCAAGAAGAAAAGCTTAGGCTGCACACTGACCTAATGTGGTTTGAACAAAACAGCTGTCACACATTTGCTCTCAGACTAGACTGATATCTGAAAAATTTGGTACATTTTCCATTATGAGTCATATTTCTAATGAAATAGAGATATATGGTAATGAAGCCTTATAAGTATCCTTTGTTTTAAGAAAAAGAGGAAGTCAAATGCTTTTTTTTAAATGTTTTTTTTACTGAATTAAATATTTGCATCCTGATTTTTAAACATGTTCATTGATTCTTCTCTCTCTCCTGGTTTGTTCCAAACTGATGTTGTCAGACTAGCAGTTTGTTTAAATGTGGTTTATTTCACTGAATGCTCAGCCTGCCTCAGATCGCTGTCATCAGCACAGGCCTTGGTACTACATCAGTGCTGTAATCGATCTGACACCGTGTCCTCTCTCAGAATTCTGCCGCCTCTTACTTTCCCCACCACTTTGAATTTTCCATGTGTGTTTTGCAACCATCTCGTAGTGAGAAACAGATTGGAGTGAGGCAGACTGTGGTTCTCATTTTTATGTTAATTGTATGTAACACAATTAGGGTTTTCTCTAATGATTTAAGCAGAAAACTGCTGAGGAAACAATATGTATTTAACCCCAATCTGAACAGATTTTAAATGAATTAATTTTGGTTTTTTAAACTCACAAAACCCTTCGGTCATCCTGATCAATATAATGTATGAAAGCTTTACTTTCTATTGAATTTGTGATAGCCTACATTTTATATTAAAGCCACAGGCAGATTGAGCTGCCATCTTAGAAGTGACTTTGCTAAAATGCCAACCATCAAATACATGGCGAAAGGACCTGCTAATAAAAACAGACGCCTCTACTGCAATAATAATTAGGTGAGTCAACATTTTGGATTGTTAAATACAATCTAACAGTCAGAAGAAATGGTCTACAAAGACAAAACTAACATAGAAATAAAAGATTGAAGAAATCCCTAAAAAACAATACAGTGCCTGAACCCATCAGTAGCTTTAGTTTTAATGTCCATTTATCAATATGGAAAAGTAAAGAATTAGAATCATTAGTCAAAGTAATTATTTTTCTTTTCAGCTCTCCTTTTGTGTGAATTTTATGTCACACTTATTTTCATCCAGTGCTAAAAATGTTTTTCACCATCTTTGTTTCCGCCGAGTCTTTTAATCAGGCAGCATAATGACACAGATGTGGGCTTTGCACAAAGTACATTTTCTGTGGTCAATAATTATATGACGGAATGTAAGCAATAATCAACTCTAACAGCAAAACAAAAACAAAGCAGCCCTCCAATATCAGTACTATTGTTGTGTCAGTAGCTTCTTTGTTAACCCTTTATTGGACAACTATTCCAGAAACACATCCTTCCAAAGTCACCCGCTGCCCCCTCAATCCTTTCATTAAATCCATGCACAAACACAGCTCGCACAATCAAATCACATGGCTTTATCTGCTCCCACAGCCCCACTGCTCATAAAAAATTACATACTCCAAGGCATAACATGCTATAACTCGTGTAAAGATTGAAACTAAATGGGGCTCCCAGCCCTGCCTTATTTTTACTTACTTTTTGTTTCATTTTATACTCCATACAAGATTATTCATCCCAAAGGAGCAGAAGAATCTAGGGATGTGACTTTAAGATATGCACACTTTGTTGTTCTGTTTGTAAACCAGACAACCTGCTCACATCATTTGATTTGTGTTGCATTCATAAGGAGTGTTGATTATAGATCTATTGCAATGCAGGCGCTCAATTTTCCCCAGAACATTTTCTAGTTTCAGCAACCAACCTTATTGGAACATTGACAATGTTTGCAAAATGTTCTGCATATTTGTATTTAGACCCCCAGAGTCAATACTTTTTAGGAAAATACTTTTATAAAAACAAAAGCATTTTATGTTTTTAAATCACAGTAAAGGAGAAGAACACATAGGATCATAACATTAGTCTGACATTTGTCAATAAAAAAATATAAAACAATGAAAGATCTTTCTGCATTTTATGCTACTTTTTGTTTTTCTGTTATATAAACTCCCTATTAATATCATGACTCACAACAGAGGGACCCAGTATTCAAGCCAGACAGACAGTGGGATAACTTCAAAAAAGCATTAATTCAAAATAACAGGAAATATCATATCAGCTGCTGCAGCAGCTAGGTGTAGGAAGCAGGAACATCTATGGAAGAGAAACACAGGTTAGCAACTGCGATAATCAGCCGGAGGATGATTATGAACACGCTAGTCACTAACCTGGTTTGTCAGTTCAGTCCGGTAGCCAAAGACTGAGGATGAGGGATGAGGGAGATCCAGATACGGAAAGCTACAAGAGCTGACAGGAGATCTGATCAGGGCTGACCAAGGCAGAAAGAATAATCTAAAGGGTGAAGTCAAGGGACAGGTCTAGGTTAAATACACAAAAAAGTCAGACAGGGGACTGAAGACAGGCAGGCAACTAATTAGACAGGGACAGGCAGGCTCAAAAGTCCAAAGGCAGAAACATATCAGGATCAGACAATCATAACACAAGTACGCTAGAAAAGCTATCTAGGTAGCTTAAATAGGAAACGGGAACAGTTGGATCTGATGAGGAACAAGGCAGAGCTAGACAGGGGAAGGAAGTGAGCAATCAAACCAGCCTCCTTAGACTGGTCTATGAACGTATGCGGCATCCCATTCTTAATCCATAGGGTTGAGTGTGACATTGGTCCACCCTTCACAGTTAAAACAACTTTAAGTGCTCTTGGAAGGCTTCCACGATTCTTACAAGCTTGTTTATGGGAATGTTTGACCATTTTACCAAAAGCAGGGACCAAAATATTAGTTATTGTGTTTTAATTTCATAGTATGATTAAATTAAGTTGCTATTTATCAGTGTTTCACCTTATAGTTGACCTATAAGCTGTGTGTTGCTACGAATCTGCATTCTATTTTTTAGAGAAACTGTTAATGCCAATTTTTTCACCATAAATTAATAGCGAAGAATGATTGCTTTGCAAAAATATATTTTTATGTCAATCATCATTGCAATAAATACCAGAAAATATTAATTTATAGGCGCTTTCTTATAAAAGTACATTGTACTGAATATGGACTATTTTTGTGACTTTGGGAAAAGATAATGATCATCAAAAATAATAGCTTTCTTACTCTTTGTCTTTCTCTGTGTTTTTTTTCTTTCAGATTCAGCAAACTTCATCTCATTTTAAAATCAATTAACAGTAACATAAGTAACTGTAAATGCAAGTTTGAAGTTGACCTGGAAGCAAGAGGATAAATTAGCTTAAGGATTTAATTCATACAGACCTTGAAAGCGATTAGCAGATATTGAGGTAACTTCTAAAACTCGATAAATGGCCTAAAGTACTGAGTGTGCTTGATGCAACAGTCAAAGATGAGCATTCCAACTAATTTTCAAGGGCTGAGAGTCAGTGTCGAAAGAGGAGAAAAGGTTGGAAACAAAACCAATTTCCGCTCGTCCGGAGATGATAACGCCAATCAAATAACCTCAGTCTCTGACCAAGAAGAAGCGGGTCTGATTCAGGTCACAAGGTACAACACAGGCTCTATTCCTCCATTGGTGCGTCAGAGTGAATCTCCAGACAAAATTGTGATCTGGGGTTCAGAGCAGCAATGTGTGGTGCCTGAGCTCAGAGAGTTCGAGATCCACACATTCTTGGGAAGTCAGGAGGAGAATAACGAAGAGGAAGATGACGGAGAGAGCATGAGAGATGGAAAGGATGAGGGTCCAATGTCCATATCCTCAAGTTCAACAGCCAGTTCAGCTTCTACTGGTGTAAGGAGAAATGATGACCAAAGCAGGGAAGAGAGCAGTAAGAGGAAGGAGAAACGCATTGCCTGTCACAGTGTTGAGGAGCTTGACACATATTTGTCAGGTTCAGAAGAGAAAAATGACACTAGATCAGGCAGGGCGAGACTGACGGGGTGTCTGAAGGAGTCGAAGTCTGAGACAAATGTGTTTGTCTCCAGTCTGTCAACTGTTGCTCTTAGTGGAAGTCTGTCATCTGCTCTGGATTCCAGTGGTGAAACATGTCTTATATCTCTATCTAGCCCCAAAACCAACCCTTTTCCTAACACCAACAATCCTACCTCAGCCCAGTCCAGCAAAAGGGCAGCTTCCTTAGACACCAATCAGAACTCCCCACCATTCCATCCTCAAGAATATGACTGTCCACAATACTATAGTCAGGAGCAGAGACAGGAGGAAAGGGGTCATCATAGAAATGGAGTTTCCCATGAAGGAGGCCTTGGCCAAAGGAGAAGAGCTGGATTTGAAGAGAGGGTGCTGCCACCTCGACGTCAGCAGCTCGTCAGACCCCTCTGCCAGACAGAGATGATCAGAGAAAGAAGCTTGCCAGAACCCAAAACTCAGCAAACTAAAACAGTACTGCCTTCCTCTATTGATGCATCTCCAGAGTCACACAGCAGTAGGTCAAACAAAAAGTTTACAAAATCTGCTTTAAGGGAACCATCAGATCTCTCCCACCTTTATAACTTGAGTAGTGTTTCTCATCTTAGGCAGCCCAACCAAGCATTCCAGAGGGAGACACCACCCATGGAAAAACAGCCAACTACACAACATTTGTCTGGTCCCTCTAACACACCCATAATAGACAAGAAACCCCAGGCTCAGCTCATTTATAGAAGGAATAGCTCTAGTCCCAGCAAGACTGGGATTGAATCAAGGTCATCAACCCCTCCTCAATCCCCCCTCAGGACACCACAGGGCTCACCATGTCAGCAGCCCTCAATGTACCTCATTTCCAGGAATGTCTCTGGAGCTTCTAGGCACGTCCCATCAGGATGCAACCCAGCTGTACCAACCTCAGCTCAGGGCTATGGCAACAGTTGCTTAAGAGCTCCGGTGAAAACTAATATAAGCACAAGTGGAATCCCAAAAGCGCCTCTTTGCATCCAACAGAGCTCCACAAACTGTAACCCCAAAGAGAACTCCCCATCACCTAAACTTAAACCTAAAGGAGTCCGTCCCAAAATAATAACTTCTGTCCGAAAGAATCCTCAATTGAAGCTCCAGGCTGCTGATGGACCTTATCAGGTCTCCTCTCTGCCATCCAGGCTCTCAACCTACACCCACAGCCAACCAACAGTGGCCTTAAAAGATGCATCTAAAGACCCCTCCAAGCCTGAGACAGAAACCCAAGGAGCCAGAGTACTTAGTGCCTCCAATCCTCTATATGATAAATACCGCCAAGGGATGCAGGTGAACAGTTTCCAACCAGCGATGCAAAACAGGAGCCTCAGGGCTCCTGGACACACAAACACAGTTCCTCCTGCACATGCATACAGCCACAATGCATCCCCGAAACTGAGTGGCCGGGCAGAAAACTACTATGGAACATCAACTGAGGTGAGTTTAATTTACATAGTGTACTCTAAATGTATTTATTATATTAGGTAATCAAATACAGCTATAAGCACCCCAAATGCTATTACTATTTTAAATGGTTTTTAGTGATTTGCTTACAATGGACTGAAAACTTTCCTTTTTAGAAATGCCTACAATTGTTGATTTTAGATTTTGTAATAGGCTATGTATGCATTTGAATGTATTGATTTTAATTATTGTCTTTTTACTTTGTTTTTAATGTTATGGTTTTTTAACCTTGTTTTAATTTTCCCTTTTTTTAAATGTAGCACTTTGAGATTTGAAGTCAAATGTAAAGTGCGTTACAAATAAAATTCATTATTATTATTATTATTACAATGACAAACGTACTGTATGACACAACTTCTGCATACAGAAATATTAAATTAATTAGCATATTATTGAAAAGTGTCATTTTTTCAAGCAACTGATTTCACTATGTGAAAAAGATTATATAAATTAATAAATTAATGACCATATCTTGTGTTGAATATAATGTATTTTGTCCAGCTAATGAAAGCACAACATTTATGATTATAATATATTAGCCTAATAAAAAAAGAAGCCAAATATCTTCTTAAAGATAATTTTAGGTAGGTGCTTAAACCACAGGCAATTTAGTGGTTTGCTGGGCAGTAAAGAAAATGTTCAGTTGTGTTTGATTTTACCTTTTACCATCGACCATTTGTATTTCAGATACATTATGCACATGATTTCAGCCCATGCATATTTGATGACTGATGTTTTGTATCTTTTTCCTAGTCCAAGGCAAGCTGCACAACATTGCTTCTACACACATCAGCCTTTTTGTAGATACATATAAAAAAATCCCCTGGTATTTATGTTCCCCTATCACTAAACAAAAACAAGTAAAAATACAACATTCATTCCGGTCATGAAAATCCTTCAGGCTAAAGTAAATCCTTAGTTCCTCTCATTCTCATTCACAGACAGAGTTTGCACGTCAGTATTATCTATGTGAATATTTTACCCCATTTAATCAGAAATCAAATGATAAGGAAATGGGGAAAAAAGTTTAACTGCATTTCTTCCCAAGTTAAAAAAACAGCCATATTGGATTTTTGCATCCAGTTTCATGAGAAATCTTTAACTTTTCCATTTGTATTTCAGACTGCAGGGCATCTTCTTGTAAAAATGTGCCATTTTAACTTTGGATTTGACCATTTGTAACTTCTATTGCGGCAATTCAAAATATGTTATCTCAAGGCACTTTAATTGTCATACAGTCATACCGGTTAAACGTTTCTTGATTCATGAATATCTTTTATGTTAGAAAAGACAATGGTAAACTAGCTCCATAGTTAGACAGAAACAGATAAGCAGCGGTGCTATGAGCCAGTTTTCATGTCAAAAGGAAGAGAGACCGACAGTTTGTCACAGTAAAAGCTAAGCCCCTGGCTATTTCTTGGTGAGAAACAGGGCTAAACACTGAAAAACAGGTCCAACGCTGTCATCAATGTATAACTGAAGCTGTTGATGGTAGCAACCCATCTCATGACTCCCTCTGCAAAGGTATTAAAGCCATGACAAGGAAAAGCAGAGCGAAAACGATGTTATGGGTTTAACTAGTAGAACTAAGCAGAATGATAAAAAGTGGTCCCTATGTCCTTCAGCATCCTAAGCATATAACTAAGCTGATAACTAAAATATCTGCATCCCATTCTAGTTGTAGAAATTCTAGAAATCACTAATAAACCTGTAGACTGAGACCAAAGTGCTGTGTTCACAATAATTCAACTTCATATTAGGATGTGCGCTGCATAACTGAAAAAAATGTCAGGTCTTTCATGTTGCAGTGCTTTAAAATAATATTTTTGTCATTCTGATTGTTAGGTGGAGCGCTCCCACAGTTTCAAAGGCATCTCCTCTGAAGATGCAATGCAAGGCAGGACAGCTACACAGACCGGGGGAAGTGGCAGTCTCATTCGTTCAAGCAGAGGACTTCGTTTGGGTCTCGGAGCCGTTACCAGGACAACTGCAGGTTCAATCAAAGCCCGAGGACCCAGCCCAGGACAGAGGTCGACACCAGGCTTCAGCCAACCGATCCAAACTGTCAGCCCAGCAATCAATCACAAAAACCAAGACAACACAGGTAAATAAGAATCTATAGCACATTTTATCTTCTAGAAGGTCAACTGGAGATGCTAGTTTTGTCTTCCTGCTGCCATGAAACAATAAGCAGTGAGACCCATCCATCCCTCAGCTTCGCTCAAAATGAAGGTCTATTAAAATGCATTCTTTCTGAGAATAATTATGGCAGACTTGATTGGACGGTTGTGGGAAGAGACTCATTCTGCACCAGAAGGAAGCAATCTACAAACTTAAGTTCAACAAAAACTAAATAGATAATAACCAACACACATCTTCTCTTCAATTAATTTCTAATTTTGATTATACAAATAGCTCTTCTGATTGCTTAAATACGATTTCTGCTTCAGTCAATCTGTCTATGTAATATTACAGTAAGACATTTTGCCATTATCCTCCTGGAAAGAAGATTCATACGTCACTAACATGGATATTGCATTTGTATTTTCCTTTTTTGTGATAGCTAAAACGAGGTAAACAAGTGTAATACTCAGTAGCCACGTATACACATGGCAATAAAACTGCATCTACAGTTTATCTTATAATATTTTTTACAAATTCATAACCAAAGAATTCTGTTTCTTTTTATTGTCAGAATTTATCCACTAAAATTATCTTTACCTTGTTCTCACTAGATCGGGGAACACTCTCTGAAATTTGGTACATATAGCATTTCCATGTGTTGAGTAGAGTGCCTTTAGAAACATTGATAGATCTTGGATTTACTAATTTGTTATTTTACTTTGCTATAATAAAACCAAAAACCTCAATTGTTTCACTGTGAGTTGAAGTGACAAAATCAATTGAAGATGTACGTAATTGTAGAGTAAAGGAAAAAATAAATTATTATTCTCATTTAAAATAATTGTGAAATGTGTGACATGCATTATAATTCAGCTCCCCTAAATTATTCTATTTAAGACTCCTCTTTTGTTGCAGCTTCAGCTCCTATTACTTTGGGGATTAGGGGATTATAATTGTTCAACATTTAAATAAAAATGTAAGATACCAACACATTATAACAGTTATAATACATTACTTTGTGGCAGTTGTGACACAGAGTTACGTTGAAAATTCTGCATTTTTGCGATTGTAAGCATACTTACCAGGCAAGGCAGTGATACACACTGAACCATTACAGAATGTAAATTCACTTATGCATGTTTCTTCATTCTTTCTTGCAGCAGTGATGCTTGGACTGTGTTGCAGGAATCACCTTTAATAACATACAGCTTAAAGCCTAGATGTGGAAATCTATACACACTGGACTTACTTTGAACTGTGATTGAAATCATTTGGGCTTATACCAGCTGCATGTCCTATTGATTGTTCCTGTCCTAATTTACATAACACATACAAAGAGAAAATGGCCTTGTTTGCCTCAAAGAGAGTAACATACAAAAGATTTATTCAAAGAAATTTATGGCATATTAAGCATTTTTAACCGTTTACTGAATGGTAAGACGAACTGTATGCACATTTTATTAAAGATAAAGGATATCCATGCAAATTAACAAAAAAAAANATATCCATGCAAATTAACAAAAAAAAAAAAAAAAAACAGCACCATAGGCTGTGCTGATTTCTATATCTCAGGGATAAGTGATGTTTGTTAAACTAATTTCTAATTTCTCCTCCTTGTGTCTCAGAGGTGTTGAATAGGATAAGATGTGGGGGTGGGAAGGCTACAATGGAAATTAGGACATTTATCCCTAATGATCCTGACATTCTTATTCAAGAAGGGGAAGCTCCAAACTCATAAGCAGACTTCCTGACAAACAGGCAGACAGGGTGGAGGAAATATAAGATAAGCATGAGCTTCATCTCTAATGATACTGGAAGGGGTGGACTTTTCCACTTTGATTTTATTCCACTTTTTCCTCTCTCTACCATCAGGCGTCTGTTCCTTCCCTGGAAACATGTTTTTTCTCCTTATGCAGCAGTAATCCTCTACCTTCCACTGAGGTGCACAGCTGTGCCAAATGGAAAGGAAAGGAAAAGAAAGGAGGGTCATCTACCTTATCTCTGCAGCCAGCAGGGGATAATGCTTTTCTTCTGTGCAGGATCTTGACCTCATATATGCAGGCTTAGGAAGCCAAGATGGGGATTTTTTCCAAAGTTTTTAGATTTTCCCCAGGGAATTCCATTTGTCTCTGTGTGAAGCCTTAATTGTCCATGTCGATACATCTTAAGTTTTATCTTGCTGTTGAGAATAATAGCTGCCAAAAAAAAAAAAAAAAAGATTCCAAACCATTGTTTTCTGACAAAAGCATTCTTACTGTTCCTCAAATTTGCTTTATTTTTTCAGTTTTCAGTTATTTATGTAATTCTATTTTGTTGGTCATTGGTTTCTTTTCAATTTTGTGTTATATTTAAGCTGTGTTGCATTTTTTGAGTTACTCTCTGTATTCCCCCCTTTGCCAGTCTCCTTTACCCTAGCTCCCTTCAAGTTACTTGTATCCACACCTTCTCCAAATCAGCTGATAAGGCTATTCTTTGTTCTATCCCCCATATATATTCTTTCTCTTCAGTTTTCCCCTGATGTGTTCTGTATTTTGGCGTGTGTATTTTTTTTTCTTTTGCCTTTTTCATTAAATCAGCAACAATAATCTCTGTCTCCTCATCTCTGCATTTGAATCCTTGTCACGTCTTGGTTGTGGTTTAGAGGATCCAAATGCAGAGGCTGAGGTGATTTCTTGTAGTTTTAATGATGAAAGCAGTTAACAAAGGCAGGAATCCAACAAAAACTTTAACACATACCAGAACCACGGAGACATCAGGGAGCTAGGGAGAGACGAGGTGAGCAGACAACAGCGACGACAGGACCAGCAGCAACAAGGAACCAACAAGAAGTGACAGCAGAGGGAGAGTATATGCAGCTGGCTGACACTATGGCAGGGCTAACGAGCTAACAAGGAGCAGGTGTGAGAGGAGACAACGAGGAAGCCAAGGGGAAAGGAACGCACACAAGAGGGCAACAACAGAAAAACCTGAGAACTAACATAAATCTAGAAACTGTAACAAAATAAGAACTAAACCAATAAAACTAGGAAACATGGAGCAAAGTAAAGGACAACAGAACCAAAACCATGACAGTCCTCAACTAACTTCCACCAAACCTGAAAAAAAAAATAAATTAAAGTATCTTTCCATATTCGTCCCACTTTATCTCTACTGGGGTCATGAGGGGTGCTGGTGTCCACGGACGAGAGGCGTGGTATGATTGCTGAATTAAGCCAGCCTTAAGGCCTAAAGAGAACTTAGGGAAGCCAGTCAATTTTTTACCTTGGGGGAGGGGGGGGATGGGGGCGCTCTGGTCTGGGAGGAGGCGAGAGTGCCCAGAAAGAACGGGAATGGGAGAACATGCAAACTACCCACTGCCACACTGTAAGCTATATTAAAGAAAAATGGGCAGAAAACACCAAATTAGGGACCTGCAGCTATAAGTGCAGTGATTGGTGATCTTATTATGTATCAACTCTCCAGTGATGAAAATGTATGTCACACACTTCAAAATATTAGTGAAAAACATTGAGATGTTTGCACAACTCTCAATTTCACAGTTATAAGTATTTCATGTTGATCTAGTGATTAAATATTAACGTTTGATCTTGTATTTGTAAAATCTTAAGGTGACTGGATACTTTTTAAAAGAACCTTATCAGAAAAAGAAATTTGCCTGACAGTCTTTTGTGAGAGCCATTTTGAATGCCATAATTGATTTAGAGGAACCATCGGAAACTAGCCCAGTCTGTAAACACATGCAGAGCCAAACAAAACTATTTACTGGTTAATTATGCATAGTTACATGTTTACTTGCTGCAACAACCAGTCTCACCACAAAGACAACTTCCTGCTGTCTACTGGGAGCTTTGTCTACAACTCATCATGAGTAATCCTGCACTAGTGTAACTTAATTAGAAAAATAGCTGTCATTCTTATCTAATTTTTACCACTGAATAAAGGCAGTTTTAAAGTGATTAATAAACTATTCAATTTTAATTTTCTTTTTCTTCGCTAGATGACCAGGTTATAAGCCACCAAGCTCCTGCTGTTCCTCCTGCTGCCACAACAGCATCCCAGCCCCCATCCACAGCCTCCAGATCTCCGCTTTCCAAATTCAGTCAGTCAGGGTTGCGGCCTCCAGGTTTCTCCTCCAACCGTCTCCCAGCAGGTCGCCTGGCAGCCTTTGGTTTTGTCAGGAGCTCCAGCGTCTCCTCAGCCTCCTCAGCCCATTCCGCTGACAGTGCACAGAGTGATCCCTGTAGGACAGCTCATGGTGAGTTGACTCTAAACAAAATGATGACACTATTTTACCAATTGTGAAATTGTATTCTGTCTTTAGTTTTTTTTTTAGTTTTGCTCCACTTTGACCAGATTTTGAAAAGTTTCCATTTCATCTTTATAGAATATTCTTTGTAGAATTAAGGGGTAAGGAGCCACATATCAGAACACTTTTAGTTCTTGCTTTGCTATTAAACATTGGGGTTAGTTTGAAAAACAGATTGATTCTAAGGGTACTACACAAACTGTTTCAGTTAAAAAGAATGATAGTAATCTAAGGTTAAGAGTTTAACATGAATCACAAACCTTCCCTGCCAAGTAAATCTCTTTAACTCTTGTATTAAACAGGACATAAGTGGATAACATCACTCTCACAACTCTTTACTAATTTAGACGGCTCCTGACTAGGTCTTTTTCTTAGATCGTATCACTACTTGAAAAGATAAGAATATATCATATGTGCTATTTAGTGAACTCTGTAAATTGTCTCAATTTGCATTCATAGTGTGAATCTCTGATATTTTCCAGTTGTGATTCTAGGGCTGCTTCGTTACTTGGCTGAGTATTGAGGTAGCAACATGTCTATTTAATGTGACCTACATAGGAAGGCTTGCTCCTCTCCTCCCAGTTACAGCTGACGTAAGCTCCTGCGTTCTTTCCTCACGCACATCAGGCCCCCTGTTATGTCATCCTTGTTTCCCTCCCTTTGAATTATATTTTTTTTCATGCTTTTTCTCTAATTTGTTTATAACGAGTTCATACTGTTGTTATGTTTATGAGGCATTGCCTCAGGTACAGTAAATCTAAGCATAAGAATTTGCATACAAGTTTCTTTTACAGCAAGAAGTTGAACCAATGCTGAAAAATCTGTGTTCAAAATGTAAACTCACAAAAAAATCACATTCTTCTGAAGTCCTAAATATTAAGAATATTAGAAATAAAGCAGAGAGACAAATACATTAATAGATAAACTTGCAAGACAAGGCATGTTTATCTATTTAGCACATTTCAACAAGAAAAATGAAAGTACATTGCAGTGCCATAAATGCATATAAAAAAAAGAAAGAATGGGGAAGAACTTAACTAATAAAGTTCAAATGACAATTTCAAGGGCAACTCTAAACAAATACATTTTAAATGGGATTTCAGCAATTTAACAGTTTTCTTGGATTTTATTCCAGATAAGTAGAGAATAAGAACTAAAGGGTGCTTATCCATGTTTGGTTCTGGGTCAGGTTATAAGAGGTCTGAGTTTTTGATAAATTGTCAATAAGATTGTTATGTGGTAAGCAGTTCAATGATTCATAGACTAACAGAAGTAACTTAAAGTCTGTTAAAAGTTTTTAAATCTGGGTCAATGTGATGTGCTCCGATTGTTTCGTTTTAGTGAGGATGTGGGCGACAGCATTCTGGATCAATTGCAGGTGTCTGATCAACTGTGCAATATATTTTCAACACTCTTCCTTTTATCAAAAAACACATCAGTTTTGTTTTGGTTTAGCGGTAGAAATCTTTGAATGGGCCTATAGTCACATGCTGACATGACATCATAATGTATAGCCGCATATCTGCTGCATGGCTATTGTAAGTTTTGTTATTGTTTATAAAGATTTGATTTAGGTGGAGCAGCAGAAATTGAATTGGAGGGACCCTAAGATGGCCCCGTATGAAACATCACATGTCAGTGGACTCTGATGTTAAGTCTCTTACTGACACAACAAAAGGGAATTTCCTTCCAGCAGGATTTAAACCAGTGGCATATAAAAAATGGCCACCCACTTTTTTATGTGCCCTAATGAAAAGTGATTAACAGGGTCAGATGCTGCACTAAATTCCAATAATATCAGCACTGTTGTTGTTCCATGGTCTGCCTTTATAATGATGTCATTCAACACCTTCACAAGTGCACTCTAAATATTATGACACCTTTCTGTGGAAGAAAAAAGATTGTGAGAAACCTTTTTTACTTGACATCATTGGTACTGGATGTATTGATGTACAGACTAACCGTCTATTATTTTGGATTGGAAAGTGGTGAGTTCTTAAAGAAGATTCTGTTAAAAATTCTAAGAACCATGAAATAAGAAATGCATAAAAAAGCATCACCATTATATATATTTTTTGAATTATTGTTTTATTTCTATTTTTTTCCAGCCTGTTAGATATAGTCGAGGTCTGTTTTAGTAACAAAATACTACTATAATCTTCCACTTATTTTGTTATGCATTTTAGAAAAGCTGTTACCCAACCCTTTATCAAAGGTATCTGGAGGATAACACTCTCTATGATCTTAACCCTTCAGTAGAAATACAGATAACATCTGGTATCTGAGAGGGATTTCTTCTTTCTTTTGTTTTATTAAGTATTAAAACAAATCAACAGCCAGTTTTAAAGTAGAGCAAACTATATTAAAATATGGTATCATCTGATAGAGGTGCACCTCTGCAGTAGACATATTCAAAGATACACATATAACCAAAAAGTCCTAGCATTGAACCATACTTCTCAGAGAATTTACTGTTGGTTTGCATGCAAAAACAGATTTGTTCTCTCTGATCCATGTAAACCACAATTATAGTCCCACACAAAATTCTCAATCTGCCACATTCAATTCACTTTAATTCAGTTTATTTATAGAGCGCCGACTTTGAACACGTCATCTCCAGGTAATTTACAAAGACAATACAATTAGATTGGTTAAAGTTTCTGTCAAGGAAAACAGGTTGATTACATCAAGTCATGGATGAGCATTATCATTAGGGACGTGCAATTAATGCTCAAAAGATTTTAGAAATCATGGGAAGGAAATACACATTCATATAAGCTTTGCTTCAATGGATATTTTAATTTATTTTCAGTTAAAACTGGCAGGTTTATCTAATTCTTTAGATGAGTGCTCTGTACTGAACTCTGAAGAAAATTTATTTTGTTTAATTTTAGAGACAAGTGAACAATTGTTAAAAAAGGTTTCATTTTAAATGGTGGGATTATTACAGAGTGTGGGAAGCTGTAATCCATAAACCGATTGTTTAGATATATCATTTCACATGTAAGCCTGCAAACATACACCCAGGAGGTCCTAAAGGCAACATCTGCACCAGTCTTCCTAATTTGCAATGAACTGGAGAAGCTCAGGGGAACATAAAAGGAGATCTAAGATGATAGCTATGAAAGGTAAAAGCGGTAATCCTTTGATGACAATATGGTTTGGTTTGCTTTGTATTTGAATTTGGTGTTTTTTGTGGCCTTTGTTTGAAAGGTGTTTGAACTCTTTTCTCAATTTGGATGAAAGTGAACCAGACTAGTTATTTTAATCCCCCTGTGTTAAACAAATTGGTGCCTGGATACTTTTTGTGTGCATAGGGAATAGCCACTGTCTTTTTTGTGGCATAGACTGAACGTTTTTTACATTTATTTGATCAGGAAGACCTAAAGGAGACACAAAGGTTTATCTATCATTGATCTGACTTTTTTTTTTTTTTTTTTATGTGAAACACCAGGTAAGGCCATAAAGTTGGTTTAACAGTAAGCTGGATGAAATGTAGTATGAGCGTCAGTTAAATAAAAGACCTTAGAGATTATCTTCTCTATCAAAGATCTGCTGCTTCAGGTAGATTCAGCCATGATATTTTTCCTCTCCTTGGCTACAGAATAGCATCCATATCTAATTGGCACATCTAATTTGCTGCTCTATGGGTGTGAACTTGTGCGCATGTGTGCATGCATGCTTGTGTGGGTGCATGCATCACAGAAACCATCTGTTCGACGTGAGCTGGCAAGAGATTCAGATCTGAGCCTTGCGTGGCATCTGGGGTTTGACATCCTCTATGCCATCTACTCTGATGCTTCTTTTTCTGCTCTTTTTTCCTGCTTATATCCCATTTCACTTCCTCTCTGTTTGCTGTTCATTTTGAATCAGAGAATTGATGTTTATGGTTGCATGGTTCTTCAGTTTTATCCTGTGCTCATTGGATTAATATGATTTCTCGAATTATTAGATTTTTTGGCCTAAAAATGTATAATGCTTTGTTTTGCTTAGTAATCAGATTTCGCCATAGAGCTAAGACAGCTGAAGAGATGCCACACCAGCATCCTCCTTTTGCATTTGGCTCTTATCTCTTTAAATTGATCAGAGTGAATAACATGAACCATGATGCAATATATGAAAACCATCATCACCTGAGAAGGCCTAGTGACATCACTTAAACCTGGATTTAGTCAATGCTTTATCGATTTGAAACAAACAAATCTAAAGCTCCCAAGATGCCTGACTACTTCACTCTTACTTATCAATTAAGGCCACCTATGACACCTCTGAATCCATATAAATCTGTTCCAATATGTTTTGGGTTAAAAAGGTCTATAAATACAGTATATTGCATAAGGGTTCACATCAGGATAATAAGGATACTGATATTTAGAATGTAATTATTGTCAAGTGGAAAAGAAAGGATTATTATGATTATTTCAAACTAATAAAATCTAAAAAGTGAGGCTTGCTTATTTAATTAGCTCCCTCTAAGTCTGAAAGCGATGCAGATGTCACCTAAGTAGCACACAATCCGGACTGTATGAAACAAATATAAATTGGAAAGGAGAAAGGATCTAAACTTGGAGTTAAGAATAGCACTAATCATAGAGACAGCTGAAAGACATTTGCAGCTATGAAAGAGCTGCAGAGATTCTGAGCTTAGGGTAGGAGAGCTTGTTGACAGATCAAGGATCTGCATTTAAGACCATTGCCTTAAACACAGGCCTAGAAAATTATAACAAACTTATGGATATATGTTGGAAAATACCTAAATTCAATTAAAAAACTGCAGCAAAGCCTTCAAACTGATATCTCCAGTTGATTTCCAACAACTGTGGCTGCATCTAAACTTTTCACTCTAAAAGACTTGCATCTATAAGTGAGTCATGAAGGCTGAAAAAATAACATCCACCCATATTCCAACCTGAAAAACTGCCACAGAGAGAAAGTGTCATGGTTTTGGT